ATTCTCCTTTTTTTTTTTTTTTTACCTTATTTCTTTCTTCATTCTCCTTTGTCCTTTTTGAATGTCTGAGAATTACAAAGTCCCAAAATCTAAGGCATGGGGCAGAAATCAAAGTAGAACCGCTCTCATGAAATTATTTGGTCTCACCCATTTTTTAATTTATTTCTGGTTTTCCCTTTAACCATAATATGCTGCTACCACTGTTGATTTGTGTAATCTAGCGTGTAATTTATGCATCAATAGTCAATTTCCTCACTTGGAGTCTTTCCCCATCTTGGGCAAAAAAACCTTCAAATCCTTTTACCTGGGTCTGTTGCCTTGCCCAGCACATTCTAGAATTGACAATAGCCCCTAGTGCCTTTCTTATAAAATCTAAACTCCCATCTAAAATAAGATCTTACCTCAATCTTAAAATGTCTTTACTATGGAGCCCCCCACTCCAAGCAAACCAACATACTCGTTGTACCCCAGCATGCCATCTGGCTCTGCTTCCCAGGCTGTTTTATACATTCCGTGTTGTTCCTGCCCTCTGAAGAGGCTAGTTGTGCCTAGGGCAAACGGGAACAAATCAGGTCTCTCTCAGACTTCTCTGAGGTCTCCCTCTTTCCAAACTTAACACTTACCCCATTCAGATGATGTTTCTTTTGATTTGTTTGTGTATCTCTTTTTTCAGCATTAAACTGTAAATACCTAAGATACATTGGCACCTGCTCTTAGGCTCCCTATGCTGGACTCATGGAACAAATTAGTATTAACGGAGCCAGGAGCTTCCAGTTAACTGGAAAAGATGTGATTAGTTAAAGCTAGTTACTGATTATCTTCTCACTCTTGAAAACTCATCTCTCTTTAAATACTTTCCCCTTTTTCTTGCAAATAAGCTCTCATTTATTCCTTCTATACCACCATTTCTTGTGGTATACTAATATCTATTACTAATTCTGTGTTCAAATAAGTTTAGAAAATAATACTGTAGCTCTATGTCATGCCCTTTCAAAAATTTTGAGAAGTAACAATAGGTGTTTCACATGATGTGTGACTTGGTGTATTTATTTTTTGTTTCTTTGAAGTTTATATTTTCATCTGAGCCACAGGGAGGTCCCAATCCGGGCACTATAAAACAAGGCTGAGACCATAACCAGCCCCTTTTGCGCCCTTCCTTTTGCTCTCCCTTTGCTGGGACAATGGGTCCGGTCGTCATCTGTGGCATATGTATCACACTCTGTAAACCTGTATCATGCTCTTGCTCTTGAATCCTATCTTTCTCTCCTCAATAAACCTCATTTTCGTGCTTGCCTTAAAAAAAAAGTTTATATTTTAAGTTTATCTGTAGGTTATGTTTGCTTTTCAAAAGCTTGCATTAATATAAAGCTCATCATTATTTTATCTAAATTTAGATAATTTTATATTATTCCCTCTCCTACCACATACTTGACTGAAGCCTATTTAACTTGAACTTATATTTTACATTTTAGTACTAAATTAAATTATAAGAAGTGTCTCAACATCCTGTCCTTTGACAAGAAACCGTTATTCAAAATAATTGTTAATTCAGTATAATTTAAGGAAATATCCTTAATAGAAAAATTGATAAATCACCAGAAAAACAGACATGACAATAATATGTAAAGATAATAACTTTTTATTATATCAAAGACAATACAAACCAAAAAAATTGAGTAATATACAATTTAAAGGACTGTTTTGTTCTAGAAGTTACAAGCTTTAAAGGTAAAAACAATTATATGAATCAAATATATAAGTGACAAAAGGTTTACCATTAACACTAAAAAAGATAGCATTAGATTTTGTTGATTAATAGCAATTTTATACACACATGCTTTTATTAATTGGATCCTAAAGCAAAATGATAAAGTAAATTTAGGATTTTTTTGTCCTTGGTAAAAAGTTTAACATCCTAAATTTGCAACTATGCTCTTTAGTTGCACATTTCTAAGACCAGAATGAATTAAAAATGGAATGGAATGTTCATTTGATCTATGTTAACTATTTTTAGGTATGTTTATTACATATAAGCCTTTGATCACAGTTTCAATAATGCTCCAGAAAAAAATAAGCAAAAAACAAAGTTTTAAACTGTTCTAAATTATATTTATCTCAATGTAATTAAATGAACTTTTTATATGTGTACATAATTTGTACAATTTGCACTCTCAGTAATAATTGGTTTATATTATAAATACTATCAAGAGAAAATAGATCTAAAGTTTCCTTTGTGAATATGGTTATCTTATGAATAAAAACATTTAAAAATTAAATGGCTTGATTAGTAGATAAAGAAAAACATTAAACTTTCATTCTGTTTTCTACCAACCATTTCACAGTCATAGCTTAGAGACACTAAAGATTACTCTTAATAAGGATCTATGCATTTATTTCCTTGGAAATAAAGATACTGGAAAAATGATACTGATTTTCCAGAAGATCCTCATACTATTTATTCAGTAATATTCAAGCATTTATACAGGTAATGGCAAATTATTAGCAGGAACATTGGGGATACAGTATACAAAAGAATGAGTGCTAAATGCACCAGGTTGTCCCCATTTCCAGATGAGAAATTTGAGCGATTTAACGATGTATTTGTCCATATTCATTTATTTGCAACTTCTTCAAAATGTCATCCAGTGGCTAGTTGTTAAGGCCAACACCATTTATTTTTACTCATTAGAAAATGTAAACACACTTTCAGACACTTCAACACAAGATAAAAGAAAATAATTATGTCCTATAAGTGAAGAAAAAACAAAACTGTTTCTTCACGAAAAGCCTAATTTAATCTAAAACTCAGAAATCCTATTCTTCAGAGCTCATGATAAAATTAGACCATGGCAGTGGTCTTTAAATGTTTTTGCTCATATAAAATTTAATTGGAAAGGCATCTCTTAGTGGGATGGATGATGAGAGCAATGTTTATGAAGTCTTGATTAAAGGAATTGTTGAATTGTCCCTTTGTTTGGCTCTCTGGAGATTCTACTTTTCTAAGAAATGCACCTTAGTAGATTCAGGGTGAGAGGTAAAACTTTATAGTATAAAGTTAGGAGAATGGTGATTCTGAAATAAGAGATGGGAAAAGGAAATGCCATCTGATTCCAAGTAGCATCTTAAGCAAATGAAGAACTTGGAAATTGATTCCTATAAAATTGTACACCTCCCCCAAAAAAGTATCTGCATGCTCCTAGGTTATACTTACCACAATCTAAATTCTACTACCCTAAGGTACATCGGAACAGAGTTGTTAATTTGAGCTATTCTAAGAAAAAGTACTTTTCCTGAGTTACTTCTTTGGCTAAAGAACAGATTTTGAAAGTTTCTGAGACTGTACCACATTACATTTTGAAATCTGCTTTTTGACCACTTGGCAAGCCAAAGTGTATGACTCTGTGTAATCTATCACACCCTGTTAATCAGCTAACTTGTTCCGTACATGTACAGATTCTGAACTAAAAAGGCCATATTAAGTAATCATAGCATAATCACTCCATCTGTTATGTAAGAGCCCAATTAGGAGTATATACTGTTATGGAAAAGCACTAGGGGAAAAAAATGTTAAGCAGCTTTTACATGTAAATACTGAATGGTGAAAACAGTCTATTAAACCCTTAAAAAAAAAACTCTAAATTAAAAAAAAAAAAAAGTTATGTGTTACTACTGCTCATCTTAAAACTTAACAAATAAGGCACTTGCCCATGGAATGTCCTAAAATGTTTGGCTCAGTTGTAGTTCCTAGGTTTGCTTCAAGCAGAAGAAGAAAACCTTCCAGAAAGGATATGTTTGGCGTTCAGTCTCTGGAGATATGAGCTGACCTTATCCTGGAATGCCAGTGTGGCTTCACATCCACAAGCATCTTCAGTGGAAACGAGTCTTCGTGCTTCTTCAATGGCTGAATACAATGACAGTACACAAAGTGTCATAGTTATCTAGGAATTATAACAAATCAAGAAATCTACAATTCAATATTTCCATTTTTAAGACTTACCTAAATGCATTTTCCAGGAGATAAAATGACATAAGAGCAAACAGAAAGAAGAGAAAATACTTTGGAATGTTAATATTATCACAGAAAGATTTCTATTAGGAGACATTGGGAAAATGTTTATAATTGTCAAAGCTGAGTGATGGTTATATGAGGGTTTGTTATATTATTCTCTGTACTTTTGTGATTGTCAGAAATTATCCATGATATAAAGTGAATTTTTAAAAAGATAGTCGGTGTAGGGGGAGGCCAAGGATACAGAGATAAGACTGTCTTCTTGTAATACTATGTTCTCATTAAAAAATGAAAATAAGGATAACAGTCCGTTATATGGCCAGAACATTTCAAGGATTAAAACTAGGTAGTTCCTATACAGGATTTTCCTATACGGGACTATTATTCTATTGAATGGTTTTAATTAAGAGTTCTACCCTTTACCCGTAAATGCTTTGTAACTAAAAATTCAGGTTTGTATTGACATTTAATCAAATGTGAGTGAGTGATAAAGGTAACCCCTAACTCTGTGAGGCAGCTATTCCTAAAAAAATATCAGAGCCCCTGAAGTTGCAAATAGAAATAAGGGTAACTTCCCAAGTCTGAAGACTGTTATATAATCTTCCAATTGAGTAGTACTATTGCCTGAGGAGAAGGAATGGTCCTTTGCTGCAACATTTTCTCCCACATTCTACAAAGATAAAATATAGGGCTGGGAGGCCATAAATTCACTTAATTAAATGTAATCTACCCACCTGTCCAAATCCTATTGAACCTTTTAGGGACATCCAGCCCAAATCCCATCTTACATAATCAGTAAACCAGAAAGTATCTATTGAATATCAACTACATGCCCATCATCCCCATATAGAGTATAAAATGGGTACTTATGATACTTGTCCAGTGCCTGTCTTGTCTGGTATCTTCTAAGCTCTATGAGGGTGTAGGCTCAGTGGGATATTCTAATTAAAACATTCCATAGAAAATTATAAAACTGGGATATAACAAAATTGAAAAGTTGAGAGATGGATCCATTTACAATAGCACCAAAAAGAATAAAATGCTTAGAAATAAATTTAAAAGAAGTGCAAGACTTGTACACTGAAAACTACAAAACATTCTTGAAAGAAATTAAAGAAGACCTAAACAAATGAAAAGACACACCATGTTAATGGAATTGGAATATTGTTAAAAATGGCAGTACTTCCCAAATTGATCTATAGATTAAACACAATGCCTATCAAAGTCCCAGCTGCCATTTTTGCAGAAATTGACAAGCTGATCCTAAAATTTATATGGGAATACAAAAGACCCCAAATAGCCAAAACAATCTTTAAAAGAACAAAGACTCACACTTCCTGATTTCAAAATTTACTACAAAGCTACAGCAATCAAGATTTTGTGGTACTAACATAAGGACAGACATATGGATCAATGGAATAGAATTGAGAGTCCAGAAACAAACTTTTACATTTCTGGCCAATTGATTTTCAGCAAGGTTACCAAGACAATTTCATATGGGAAAGAACAGTCTTTTCAACAAATGATGCCGGGACAACTGAATAGCCATATGAAAAAGAATGAAGTTGGACCCTTACCTCACACCATATATAAAACAACTAACTAAAAATAGACGATAGACCTAGATATAAGAGATAAAACTATGAAACTCTTGGGGGAAAAAATGCAGGAGTAAATCTTCATAATCTTGGGTTAGGAAATGGTTTCTTAAGAATGACACCAAAAGCACAGGTGACAAATGAAAGAATAGATAAATTGGACCTGATCAAAATTAAAACCTTTTTTGCTTCAAAGGACACCATCAAGAAAGTGAAAAGGAAACCTAAAGAATGGGAGAAAAAAATTGTAAAACCATTTATCTGCAAAATGTTTGCAAATTACATATTACAATGCAATAAAAAGAAAAGCCAATTTTAAAAATGGGTAAAGGATTTTGAATAGACATTCCTCCAAATAAGATACACAAGTGGGCATAAAAACATTAAAAGATGCTCGACATCATTAGTCTTTAGGGAAATGCAAATCAAAACCACAATGAGATATTGCCTCACATCACTAGCATGGCTAAAATTAAAAAGACAAAACAATTACAAATGTTAGCTAACGTGGAGAAATTGGAAGCCTCATTTCATTGCTGGGAAGATTCTAAAATGGTGCAACCACTTTAGAAAACAGTTCAGCAGTTCCTCAAAATATTGAACATAGAATTCCATATGACCCAGCAATTCCACTTCTAGGTATATGCCCAAGAGAAATTATATGTCCACACAAAGATTTGTACACAAATGTTCATAGCGACATTATTCATAATAGCTGAGGAAGTGGAAATAACCCAAATGTCCATGAACTGATGAATGTATAAACAAAATGTGGCATATCTGTGCAATAGAATATTACTCAGCAATAAAAAGCAATGAAGCACTGATGCATGCTACAACACGGATGAATCTTGGAAAGATTATACAAAGTGAAAGAAGCCAGTCACAAAAGACCACACATTGTATGATCCATTTATATGAAATGTGGGCATGGTTAGAACTTGTCAGCGGTTGGGTGGACAGGAGAGTGACTGTTCATAGTTATAGATTTCTTTTCAGGGTAATAAAAATTTTTTAAACTTAGATACTGGTGATGGTTCCACAACTCTATAAATATACTAAAAACCACTGAAATGTACACTTTAAATCAGTAAATTTTGTAATGTATAAATTATACCTCAATAAAATTTTTATTGAAAGAAAGAAACTTCAAAAGATGTAGACACAGACTAAAGTGTCATATACCTAGAAGTGATGAACCTATCCTTACTCAATTTTTCAGCCCCTAAACAACAATCTCTTCTTTTTTCTAAACATCCACGGCATTTACCGTCTGCCATGTAGGTAGCATTTATTTTATGCTCTCTTATAATGTTAACATTGCCCTCTACTCTACCTGGAATTTGTCTCCAGTTTCTCCCTGAGGACCTCATTGGGTACTACTTACATAACAGTAGCTCCATGAATACTTACCGAAATAATAAAGTAAGTGCTAAACACATAAAACGAGGTGACAGCCCAAACAATTATAAATCATGTTGATTCCCCACCTTTCAAGAGAAATGTCCAAGAGTAATTTTTCTGAATAATAACCACTTAGGTAGGGCGAGAGAGCACCCAGACTCACTCAAATTCTAAAAGCAAGCTTTTTCTTATTATCCTCACCCTTTCCAAGAAACCGATGCTTACTTTACTTCAAATGAAGAAATATCTACTGAGTACCTAGTATGTGTCAGGTGCTATGGTAAATGCTAGAAATGCAGACAAGATCACTGCCCTTGCGGCTCGGGGTTTACAATCTGCAGAACATAAAATCACAAGTCCAAAACTCAATTCTTGACTTTCATCCCCCAAATCTGATCTGCCTTCAATCTTCCCCATCTCAGCAAAGGTACCCCATCCTCCAGTTATTCGAGTCTGAAATTTGAAAGGCATCCCTATTCCTCCCCTGCCCCAGCCCTCACATAGAATTTCTAATCAAGCCCTGTTCACTCTACCTTCCAATATATCTTGGATCAGTTTACTACTATCACCATTGTCACCAGCCTAGCCCAAGTGACCACTGCAAGAGCCTCCTGACTGGCCTCCCTTCCACCCTTCATCCTCTCCAAGTCACTCTTCATAGAGTGGCTGGAGTAACTTTTTAAAATCTTACAATCACGTCACTCCACTGCCTAAAACCCTTCCATGGCTTCCCCTTGCCCTTCAAATAAAATATACACTCCTTACCCCTGGGCCCAGATGACCGCATGATTTGGCACCTGCCTAACTCTCCAAACCATTTTATGCCCCACTCTCCCTGCCCCTGACCATGCCCCATCACACCGGCTGCCTGTCACGGCCTCTCCCCGTGTAAGCCGCCACACAGGACTCTGCACTGCCCTCCCTCCTCTCTCCAGCACCCCAGTCTCAGCCTAACCGCTGCTTATCCCCAGGCCTCAAATGTGGCTTCTTCAGAGAGGCCTTACCAACCTGAAGCAGGTTCTCCCAACCGCCTTGGGCACCCTCCTGCTCTTCCCCAGCACTGCTCTTAGTGAATTTGTCAATTTGTTTTCACTTGTCTTTTCCCCCATATGGTTATCAAAGATCAGACATGTTGTGTTCACAACTGTATACCTAGTGCCTAGAGCACAGTAGAGCTATATATATTTATTAGGCGGATGAAGGAATTATTGAAGGAACAAACACAAGTAACTATGACACAAGGTGTCCTGTGCTGAAAGAGAGGACAGAGTTCAATGAAAGAATACAAGAAACTCTGGTAGAGAAGGGAAAAATGGAGCTAGCCCTGGAAATTTTTTAAAAACATGATTTTGTAATATTTGATTCACACAAAGTAAGTTATAGAACACATATGTAAGTTATGAAGCATAATAAAAATAAATATTAACCTACTGCCCAACTCAAAGCTTAAAACATTATGAATACTGTTAAAAAGACATCATTTGAAAAGTAAAATGATAAAGACAATATAGGAGAAAATATTTGCAATACATAAAAACAAGGATTTATAATGTGGAATTCCTGTGAATCAATAATAAAAATACATATAACCCAATAGGAAAATACAAAAAGGGCATCAATAGAATTTCTGAATATGAAACTCAATGACCAGTAAAGAAAGGAAGAGACGCTTCACCTCATTAGTAACCAAGAAATGGAAAAACATCCTCTAGATTCGGAAAAATTTAATTCAGCAAAACTGAATGTTGGCAAGGATGTGATTCTTGGGTTCTGACAAGCAAAAGAGGTGTAGGAAGGGGATCTCAGCAAAGTGCAGGCGAGTGCAGGGCATGCTCCTGCAACAGCAAACAGCCTCACTGCAGCTGCACCACAAGATTGGGGAAAAGGAGTGGATCTGGGGGACAGAATGACGAACAGTAGTTACCAGGGACTCTAGGGGGGTGGGAGATGGGCAGTTATTGTTTCATGGGTACAGAGTTTTAGTGTGGGATGACGAAAAACTCTGCAGCTGGATAGTGCTGATGGCTGCACAACAATGTGAATGTATCTAATGCCACTGAACTGTTCTCTTAAAAATGGTTAAAACAGTAAATTTTATTTTATATATATTTTACCATAATTTAAAAAAATGTGGATAGGGAGACTTTAATTAGGAAGAAGAGAGAGAATGAGAGAGAATAGAATCAGATCATGGAGGGCAGGCTGTCTGGGAGAGGAGTATAATTATTCTATTCTGTAGACAACTGGGAGCCACTGAAGGATTCTGAGAAGGAGAAAGAATCGTAACTGTGCTTTAGACACAAAGAAAGAAAAGCTTGCTCCTAAAAGATTTTCCTACCAAACGAAATAGGCTTAAAGAGCTTATCTTCACCTGAACATGTCTTCTTGTCCTCATTCAGGGTGTAGCCGGGAAAGCAATCACAGTGGTAGGACGCCGCCCCGTCACTCACACAAATGTGCTGGCACCCATGAGAGCCCAGGGTACACTTGTCACGGACTGACCACAAGTGGTGCAGGAAAGAAAATATTTACACGTTCATTAAATAGAAAACCAAACACAAACACATAGGTGAGAAAAGCTTCAGTTCGGACGCAGTGAGTGTAGGGAACAACCCTTCGGTAGTCATCGACAAGCCCCACGTGGCAGGAGAAAGCCTGCTTTCCTTTCCCACATCTCACATCCCTTAGCCTCACCGTGTATCACACACACTCCATTCCTTTTTATCTCTCGCAGATAGCTGAGGGTGTCTTTTCTTTTTTTCCGCCCATGGCACTGAACCTTGATAAATTCCAGAACTTACCTTCAGCCTTTCCTGATGACTATCAGTGCTTCCAACATTTCCAGCTATTCATGAATCATCATTGCCATCACCAAAAATAATTTATTAGGGGCCAGGCGCGGTGGCTCATGCCTGTAATCCTAGCACTCTGGGAGGCCGAGGCGGGTGGATCGCTCAAGGTCAGGAGTTCGAGACTAGCCTGAGCAAGAGCGAGACCCCGTCTCTACTAAAAATAGAAAGAAATTATCTGGACAATTATCTGGACAACTAAAAATATACATATAGAAAAGATTAGCTGGGCATGGTGGCGCATGCCTGTAGTCCCAGCTACTTGGGAGGCTGAGGCAGGAGGATCGCTTGAGCCCAGGAGTTTGAGCTTGCCGTGAGCTAGGCTGATGCCACAGCACTCTAGCCAGGGCAACAGAGCCAGACTCTGTCTCAAAAATATATATATAATAATAATAATTTATTAGGGACCTAATTGCATGTGGAGCTAAGTTTAATGCTGCACAAAAAGAACTATATTCACCAAGGGCCTGCCCTTGATAGCTTACAAAGTGGAACAGAAAACATTGACCTGGATACACATGCGCGCACACACACAAGCACAGACAGAAAAATAATACAATATTAATAATATCAATAATGATGATGTGTGTGATTGGATAGTGAAGTACTTACTATCTTTCACAAGCAAATAACATTTCAACAACCAAGACAGTTTGCCCAAATTTGAGTGGAGAGCAGAGCAAAGTGCAATACTAGCCCTGTGTCCAAACTGGACCAGGACAAATGAAAACAGCAGTTCTTTAATAAGCCCATAAATGCTTCCTGGGAGACATATGTTCTTCCTCTGCCACTGCAGGGGCCAAAGTTTATTTATTCCCCTCTAACTCTTCTCTTAAATGTCAGTCTGTACTCAAAAGCCTTCCATGGCTCACTCTTGCCTATATTACAGCTTTGCATGAATTGCAAGGCCCTATATAATCTATCCATAAAGTGCCTTTCTTTCCAATTTTATCATGGATATTCCCCTACATCACTACAATTTAGATTTTTTTTTCATCAAAATGCCTAATAGCAGAGTGTTTCATTTTTCCCCTCATCCTAGCTTAGTACCCACTCTACAGATAATAATTGAACATGACTCCGGCCCTTGGCCCTGATCTGGAGCTCCGCATTAAATTTAACAAGCCTTCCTGCCACCAACAAAGGGAAAACAGTCCATTAAAGGCAGTCTGACTCCTGGTGTGTACCCCAGCTTTAGAATAGTAGACATTGTTACTTTGAAATACATAAATACTAACTTTCCTGCCATCTAGCACCTATGTAACCACTAGAACAAGTACCCGGGTTCAAATCCTTGCTCTGCTACTTACTAGCCAAATAACTATGGGCAAGTTACTTAATCTGTCTGTGCCTCAATTTCCTCCTAAAGCTGCTGCAAGGATCAAAGGCATTACTGTGTCTAAAATGCCTAGAACCATGCATGGCCTATAGTAGGCACCGAAGAATGTTGGCTACCATCCTCTAGCAGTGTTGCCTGAAGTAGTCTGCCTAACTGAGAATTTTCTTTGATTTATGGCTTTTTTTTTACATAAACTGCTTCATTTTATTCCATAATATCTGTTAGTTTAAATGGAATGTTTTATTATTTGTTTTGTTTTCCAAGGTCCTCAATATTCCTGGCAGCTTAAAGTACCAACTGAGATACTTGTCACCAGTTTTCGAAGTGCAGCCGTATGGGAGCCCTCTCCACCCAACTGACTTAGTCCTGCTGCCCTGAACAAACTGGCACAAGCCTGTCCTCTGCCAGGGCCACTTTCTACTTTTCTTGATCTAACACTTCACCACCACTCTGTGTCCTCCCCAGACGCCGGCCTACCCAGCGTCTACTGCCCTTAGTTCTGTCTGTCCCTCTCCCTGGCTTAGTCTCTGCTTCTGTAAGGAGTTGGTTCTCAGTTCACCCAGGCTGTAAGTTGCTAAGAGGTAGAAACTTGTGCTTCTTTAGATCCTCACAGTGTTTAATGACATTCTGGGAACAAAGTAAGCACTCAATACTCTTTTATTATTTCATTTTTTAAAAAAGGGAATTGGTGATATGCCATTTCCCTTCATCTATATTGACAAGATCCCATGATGTATCTCCTCAAGGGAGAAGAAAACATACGTAAAATCCGAAATATATTCAATATGCCAAAGCTAACCACCATGTTGAAAGCTCGGAATTTCTCTTAGGAGTGTTTTTACATTTATAAATGCCACCCTGTCCTGCCAGTGAGTTTAAATCAAATTAATGAGGATTAGCAATACTGGCATAGGCTCATTAGCCAAGGCATAAGTCTCAGTTTCACTGAAGATTGATCATCTAGAAACTGTCAGGGAATGACTTGCTTCATACTTACTGGAAGATCTGCGTGGGTCTAATTCAGGCATTTACAAAGTCTCCTTTACTAACATGATCCAGCTTTAAGATTAACACTACAGAAAAGTTCCCGGCCGAGCTTTAACTGGAAAAAGATCAGTTCAGCCTATCACCCCAAATAGTTACTGTCCAACTGACTTCCTCTAAAGTCTACTATTTGCTTAAAAGTCCCCAATGTACAGAGCTATAAAATTTTCCTGGATAAGGACCCTACATTTAATTAGCTTTTCTCATATCCCCCACTCCCTTCTCATTTCCCGGTAATTTTCTGAAGTGATCTATGTTTGCAAAATCCAGTGAGCTCACCACCCTCTGAACAATGTGCACTTTTGCCTATAAGCATGGTAGCATGTCTGAACCCTGATTCTTTAAGTTACCTTTAAGAACTTCTCTCCTGGTGAATTTCAAGTTGGTTTCCCTGCCACAGAAAGAGCCAAGTATAAAGAATTTGTTGAGTGGACCTTACCTGTACATGTTTTTTTATCTGCATTCAGAGTGTAACCCTCATAGCATTCACAGTGATGGGATCCATTTCTGTCATTCACACAAAGGTGCTGACACCCATGAGTACCCAAAGCACATCTATCTTGAGCTGTCAAACAAAAGTCCAGGAGAAAAGAAGCAGAAAGTGGAAGAGTATTTTATTACCCAGAGATAGAAATCTTATTTGCAGCTAGAAATACATAAGAGGAAAACTTATTGGAAACTATTCAAAGCCATTGGCACTATTTGTTCTAACTAGAAGTTAACTGAGTTAAATAAAATCGTGCATAATAATTATTCTCTGACCTTTCCCAATTCCTTTTCAAAATCATCAATATTGAGTTTGTATAATCTAAGTATCTCATAAATACTCAGCATTCCTTTTAGCTTCATTGTGTTTATCCCAACTCAGAGGGATACCAACAGTCATGTGGCTAATTACACTAGATTTAGGAAAACATAGAGTTTGAAGAAATTGTGGTTCAACCCTCTCCTGTTTTATAATGAGAAAATTGCACCCAAGGGAGACTAATTGATTCAGAACAGCGTAAGAACTCAATACCCAAATTTTCTTTCAGTGCACTTTCCTCTGTACTGATATATTTTTAAACTATTTTTTATTTTTACACATTTCATTTTGAGATAATTGCAGACTTATGAAAAGGTTGCAGAACAGTGCAAAGAGTTCCTGTACTTCACTGTTTCCCCAGATGTGAACTTATAGAACTATAGCATGATTATCAAAACCAAGAAATTAACATTGATACGATATGATTTACTAATCTACAGACTTTATTCAGATTTTGATGATTATTCCATTAATGTCCTTTTTGTTGTCCAGGATCCAATCCAGGATTCCACATTGCATTATACTTTCATGTCTTCTTAGTCTCCTCCAATCTGGGACATTTCTTCAGTCCTTCTTTATCTTTTACGACTTTGACAGTTTTGAAAAGTCCTAGAAAATTATTTTGTGAACTGAGAATGTTTCTCAGTTTGAGTTTGTCTGGTATTTCCTCACGATTCTGAATTTTTAGCAACAATACCACAGCCGTGCTATTGTGCCCTCAGTATATCACGTCAGGTGACACATAATGTCACTCTGTGTCATCACTGACGATGTTTAACTTTGATCCCTTGGTTAAGGTGATATGTGCCAGGTTTCTACACTTATAATGTTCCGTATTTCTCTTTGCACTAAGTGTCTGTGGGGTGCTATGTGATTTTAACTTACCGAAGTGTCCACAGCATTTGGAAAGGACTGTTAAGGCTGGATATAGAGCAGGAAACGAGCAACGTATTTACACGTTTGGGCAGTGGTAGGTACATGTTGCCATATCTAACATTTTGGGTAAGACTGAGAAATGGGAAAAGCTAAAGGACAGCAAGAGAGGAAAACAGACGAAGTTCCCAGACAATGCGACCCACCCTTCCAAGCCTGGATAGGTAGGTAGATAGCTAAGTAGCAATAGTCAAGACTCCTCTCCCACTCACCTGAGCAAGTTTTCCTGTCTTCATTCAAGGTATAACCTTCATAGCACTCACAATGATAAGAGCCAGTTCTGTCATTCACACAGACGTGCTCACATCCATGAGTGTTAAGAGCACACTTATCGATAGCTATTGAAAGATGACCAGGACAAATGTGAATACATGGAAAGCATGCCGGAAATAAATAATTAATTATGGGCCACGCTACTTGCACACACACACACACACACACACACACACACACACAAACACACAAACACATACACATACAGAGCTAATGAAACAAGGGAGAAGAGCAGCTTGGCGCAAAGGATAGTGGGCTGGGAGTTGGGAACTAACCTTCTAACAGCCCCCGTGGTCACTAACAGATCCCGCGACATGGATAAGTCTTTTCCCTTCTTTCTGTCTCAGTTTCATTATTTATAAAATAAACAGACTGAATTGAACAGTCTCTAAGTTTTCTTCCTCTCAAAAACTTTTTCTAGGATTTAAACAAACAAAAAAGAATCTAATTCCCATTCTTCACTGACTCTATGTTAGTGTGCATGTACCAGATGAGTGAGGACCTCCCTCAATTTTCCTCTACTTCTAGATTCCATGAGCATCTATGGTCATAAAGAGAAAGGGGATAGTTTCTAATTAGATAATATCCAGGAAAAATTCCAATTCCTCAAAAGGACCAAGAATGTCAGATCCCTCTCTATTAACCTTTTCTCCTACTAACTTTTCTTTAAAACTAGTAATTACTGTAATCGACTGATTAATTTATCATTTCACTTTTCTCCCCATGTTCCTTTTCAAGGAAAATTGTTGATGAACAACAGTAAACCAGCCAAAAGGCAATTAGGTGAAAAGGGATCTGAGAGTCAAAGCATGAGGCCAGTCCAAACCCTTAGGAGTACAGGTCCCCGAATAACTGAATCGGCCATGGCCCCCCAAGCAGCTCACCTGAACAGGTTTTCTTGTCAGCATTCAAGGCATATCCTTGGCTACACTCACAGTGGTGTTTGCCGTCCCCGTCGCTGATGCAGACATGCTGGCACTGGTGTGTGCCAAGCACACATGGGTCCACAGCTGTGCAGAGGACATTTACAACAGTCAGCAGCAATGTGGAAGACACATTTCAGATACTTCCTCCCATGTCAAAAAGACATCACTCTCCAGGTCCCTCTGATTCTATCTATACTTCACTATAAAAATTGGCTATTTGTTTTCTGCCTCTGGCTTATTAGAAATACCACCCTTAAACTAGAAATTGTTGCTAATTTAAAATTACAGCTCTTGCTGTAGACTTTCTCAAAGAAGAAAGAGAATTTGGAATTTGGAGCTGAAGCCAAACACTTACATGGGTCAAGTGTAAGTGATGTTTTATTTGATTGATGTTTTATTTGGCTTACCCACCTGCCCATGAAAAAGACTTTTGCTTCCCCATCACACAAAATTGGAAGAGCAATCATGTACTGCCTGAAGTGCTATGAGCTAGTTGCACTATTGCAGCAGAATCTGGTTTCCAAGGGCTCTATAGTCTGTGTCTGAACAGAATTCCCACACAGGCATGCCTCTAGGCCTGGAACTCACTCACTTGGGCAGTGATACATATTTGAACATGCAAATGGTGGAGGGCAATTCAGGTAACTGCCTTCTGAATATGCAACATGGGTTCTTGAGCCCACATATTATTTGTATGTCTGCAATTCTGGGCCCTCTAATATAAGGAGAACAAACGCATATGCTAATACACGCAGGTAAAAAGAAAAGAAAGAACAAAATAAATGAGATTGCATTAGCTAAACTACACCTCCATCATTTTGCTTTACTGGAGCCATTCATTGGATTTTTTTCCCTAGTGACGTGTTTTAAAAAATGAATCAATAAATTTAGTCATTTCTGAGAATCCAAGGAGGCCTGTTGGAGGAGGCTGGCACTCCTGTGGCAGGTAACCCAGCCTCCATTGCCCTTGGCAACATGACAAGGCTAATATTTTCCCAAGAATGGCCTTTTCATGGAGTGATCTTTCCAACGCGTTGACTACAACAAGCTACCCCTCAGTCTTTTTTTCCATAGAGAGGACATTTTTCCCCCAGAACAAGCAGGTCTTTTGTACCAAGAGGAAAAGATTACCACTCACCACTTGTTACTTTATGGCCTTCAAGCCCAACCCCAGGTGCTAGCTTTGAAATCCAGCTTTGCCACAGACCAGCATCTTGATGGAAAAGCTCTCACCCACAAGCATGGGTGAGGAGGGGGTTTCCTGGGAGAAAGAAAGCTACTTTCTTTTTGGAAACCAGTGAATGCCAAGTAGATGCCACCAAAGCCAACGACAGCTTGTGAAGGCCCACTGTCCTGGGGACAGGAAAAACAAGGGGAGCCCAGCCAAGTCTGGCTGAAATAAGGCCAGACTTTGCCCCAAAGACTTTATCTCCCTTTTCCTGACAAACTGGTGATTTCTGGGTTTCATATTAATTTAGATATAAAGTGTCCTTAGAATTTACAATTGTAATTATTGGTTCACTTGTTTGTCTCACTCCCACCCCGAGAATGTTACTTGATAGTAGGGAGGGACTACCTTTATCTTTGTATCATCACTGATCAATAAGTGCATGCTGAATAAATAAATTTGGAATAAATTATATAGCAAAAGATATTTATGTTTAAAAATTCACTCGAACTAGAAATTTGTCTGCACTTGCTTGGATAATGCCACAGAGGGCTTCAAAAGATCATCTCCAGGCTGGACGCGGTGGCTCACGCCTATAATCCTACCACTCTGGAAGGCCGAGGCAGGAGGATCCCTGGAGCCCAGGAGTTTGGGGCTGCAGTGAGCTATGATCACGCCACTGCACTCCAGCCTGGGCAACAGAGTGACACCTTGTCTCAAAAGAAAAAAAAACGATTATCTCCAAATTATTAAAAAATGAAGCATGAGTTCCACAAATCATAATTCTGATCACTGACAAAAAATAAACTCCAGCATTGAATGGATTTGTATTCATGGATTTGGCTAATTCATGCTAAGAATTCCAGTCAAATTAGCATGTTCATATTCAAACTCCATCTTAAAGGAAGAAAGGAGTAGAAGGACAGTAACAGAATGATTTTTTTAAATCTGCTTCTTGCTGTCTCTCAAGGGAGCTGAAACCCTACTCTTCCTGGTCCGTAATCCTGTTCTTCAACAAAGAATAATCGGAGAAAGAGCCGAATTTCAAAAGGACAGTCAGTATTCACCAAAGGCCCACTCGGGCTGACAGCTGGAACATAGGCCTGTTGAGCCACGGGCAGACACCACTCCCTGTCTTCTGCAGAACAAGCAGCGTTCTGTTAAACCTAGAGATGGTAAAACTAAAGAAAATATGCAGTGGTGGGGCAGAGGGGACAAGAGAGGTGTCTTGAGTTTTGTTTTGTTTTTTCTGACCCCATCAGGAAACAGCAAGATCATTTATCCTGGATATTTGTAGACCTTCACATTTCTAATGCAAACACGAAGATTTTATGAGCAAACCAAGTTATATATAATGCAGCTCTATATTCCTAAACCAACATAGTGTGTTTAAGTTGGTTTAAAAAAAACACCAAAAAAGGCATTGCATGTATTTAAGTTTCTCATAAAATTTCCACCAACAGGCCGGGCAAGGTGGCTCACGCCTGTAATCCTAGCACTCTGGGAGGCTGAGGTGGGAGTATCGTATGAGGTCAGGAGTTCGAGACCAGCATAAGCAAGAGCGAGACCCTGTCTCTACTAAAAATAGAAAAAATTAGCCGGGCGTGGTAGTGTGCGCCTGTAGTCCCAGCTACTCAGGAGGCTGAAGCAGGAGGATCGGTTGAGCCCAGGCATTTGAGGTTGCTGTAAGCTAGGCTGATGCCACGGCACTCTACCCAGGGTGACAGAGTGCGACTCTGTCTCAAAAAAAAAAAAAAAAAACTCCACCAAAACATAAGAAGGACTGCCTTTTTTTCAGGTGTGCAATGTGTGAATATAACATCCTTTCTAGTTGGATGCAAAGATTCACCAACTTACCACAAAAGGTTTCCTGGAATCTAGAGGAAAGTTTCTCAATGACCCCATAGGTCTCCACGTAGAAGACATGCTCGTCTAGAGGTTCACTGGCCATCATCTTGAGGGACTCCATGTCCGCGCGGTCCACACCCACAGCATAGAGCTCAATACCAGAAGCCCGGGCCCGAGCCGCCACCTCGGTCACCTGGTCCTGGGGCCTCCCGTCTGTCACAATGATGGCCACCTTAGGGATGTTGAAGGTGGGCCCTCGAGCTCCTGCCTCCACGGTGAAGGCTTCATCCATGGCCGTCTGGATGGCCAGCCCCGACATGGTGCCTGTTGACAAGGGTGTGATTCGCCCCACGGCCTGCTTCAGGGACTGCTTATCTGAGTAGGTCTGGAGATGGAACTCGATCTTCACGGTGCTAGCATAGTTCACCACTGCCACCCGTGTGTCGGCCGCCCCAATGTCCAGAGTGTCAATTATCTGGGAGACAAAGGTTTTCACCTTGGTGAATTCCAGGGGCCGCACACTACGAGAACTATCAATGATGAACACCAAGTCCAAGGGCCTGCTCTTGCAAACGCCTGCAGAGAAGAATGTGGGGAGCAGAAAAGACCAAGCGGTGATCAGACCACAACCAGAAATGGGACAATCCTCACTCTCAGAGAACTCTGGGATTCCAGGAGGCCAGGCAGCATCCTCTAACCCCAACACCCACTGCCAGTGACCTCCTCCTCCAAGATCATCTTCCCTTCTGATGTTGAAAGCACCAAGGTCTTCAGAATTCTCTAGTGAGAATTCACATAGAGGTGTGACATTTCCCCAAATACCTCTCCTATGGACTGGCTGAGCCCTGAAATTTCACTTAGAATCTCATCCCTCTGCTTAAGGTTTTGCTCCCAAGGTTCCCTGTAATTCCTAGGAATGAAGAGATCCCAGACCTTTCTTAGGCACGTTGTCTATCTGAGGCAACAGGACAAAGTGTCCCTGAACAGTGTGAAAGGCCCTGGACCCTCAGGGCCAGCCTCACTGCACAATACCCTGCCCAGGCCTCAGGCCATGGCGGAGCTTGAGGCAAGGCACTCTGATGCTCTTCTCATAGCTTCCTTCTTTCACTCCACTTCCCAGGAGTGAACACTGCTCCAGAGTAGTCCTAAATTCTCCCTCCATCTGGTCATTCATTCCTGTTTCATGAACTTTTGGGCCCAACAAGAGCCCTGAGCTAGTTGAAAGTAGAAAGAGGAACGACAGCTTAATCTGATACCTGGCATGTCTTGCTGTTTTAAGAAGCAGAGACTGTGACCTGGTATCTATCCTCCTGCCCCATCGAACTCTCCTGCTCATCTCACCTTCACTGACTCATTCACCAAATTTTTTTAAGGGCCTACATGTATGAAGCCCCGGAGCTACAAAAGCAAATTAGCCAGATTCCCCACCCTCAAGGAACTTACTTCTTTTCTACACAGAAGTGCCTGCCGCACTGTAGTAACACAATAAGGTTTAGTTTTCATCTATTCTTTCCTGTTTCCAGTAACCCTGGCTTGCACTCCCTCTCCTGGCCACCAAATCAAATCCACAAGTCAGGACTAGATAAGAAAGAAGCTGGTTATTTAAACTTCTTTTTCAAGCCACTTCCCCTTCTCACCCAACACACATACACACACACACACACACACACACACACACACACACATGCACATGCACACACATGCACACGTACACGCACATGCACACACACATTATGCATATGCAGCCCTAAATGGAAATGAGATCCTGTGGTATGAAGTATCACTCAGGGCTTTTTCCTTTCCTGACAAGGGGCTAGAAGAAGGCAATTTACTCAGGGAGTAGGGAAAAAAGTAGACTCAAACAGAATTCCTAGGCTAAGCAGTTTATGGAGAAAAAGCTATATCTGGAACAGGGATTATGCCTGTGTATAATTTTCTTTTAAAAGCCGAAAATTATCCTCTCAGTTTCAGCCCACTGCTTGGAGGTATTCAATTAAGAAAATAAGTAACATCTTACTTTCAGTAACAATTTAGGGATCACAGGGTACCAACATACCAACTCTGTGAAGTCAGAGGTGCAGAGGTTGTTTTTATACCCATTTTACTGGAGAGAAACCTGAGGTTCCAGAAGGTGTGAGAGCTAGAAAGGTGCAGAGCATGGATGGGACCCCAGGTTTCCTGACTCCCAGCTCCCGGGGGCTTTCTATGCGCCCTGTTACCTCTGTCTGAGGCAACGTTTTCCACCACAAAAATCAACATTATCTCATGTACCCAGTTAACATCCTACTTGTTGACTTTGAGCCACTACCCTGAAATATGCTGTATGTCATGTATTTAGTTAAGTCAAAAGGAATTAAAAATCTTTCTTTTTTTAAACAACTCCTGAATTTCACTTCATCCCCTGAGATTCCCATGGATCAGGAGAAAGGAAAAAGGACAGTGTTGAAAATCCTTCCTGGAGATGGGTGAGGGAATTTTCGCATAATTGGAGTAAAAGGAAAAAAAAATGTGATGCTTGACCATGCCTTCATTAACACCCAAATGGTGTCCTTGTAAGTATCATGGTTGTATGTGTATGTGTGTGCATGTATGTGTGTGTGTGTGTGTGTGTGTGTGTGTATGTGTGTTGGGTGAGAAGGGGGAATGGCTTGAAAAAGAAGTTTAAATAACCAGCTTCTTTCTTGTCTAGTCCTGACTTGTGATTCCTTCTCCACTTGGTTCTTCACACTGAATCCTCTACTCAGGGAGGTTTTGGGGGTTGTGGCAGGCAGAATAATGATCCCCTCAAAGATGTCCAGGTCCTAATTCCAGGAACACATTACTTTACGTGGCAAAGGAGACTTTGCAGGTGTAATTAGATTAAAGACCTTGCAATGAGGTGGTTATCCTGGATTATTTAGTGAGTCCAATGTAATCACAAAGGCCCCTCAAAGCAGAAGAGGGAGGAGGTGTGAGTAATTCAATGTGAGAAGGAGTCAACCTGCTGTGCTGGCTCTGAAGATGGAGGAAGAAGGCCATGAGCTAAGGAAGGGGCATCCTGCACAAGCTGGAAAGGCGAAGAGATGGATTCTCTGCGGGAGCCTCCTATAAAGAATGTGGCCTTGCTGACACCTCGATTTTAACCCAGTGAGACCAGTGTCAGACTTGCGACCTACAGAACTCTAAGGTAATAAATGTGTGTTGTTTTAAGCCACTAAGTTCATGGTCATTTGTTACAGCAGAAATAGAAAACTAATACCTGAGCTTCACTAGGGTGGCAGGAAATTCCATGAATATCTGGTTCCTTCCTGATTTGTACCCCCTCAGTAATGATCATTCGTTGTTTTTAATTATTTATTTTTATTGTTTATTTTTTAGAGATGGGGGTCTCACTATATTGCCCAGGCTGGTCTTAAATTCCTAGGCTCGTGATCCTCCTGCCTCTGCCTCCCGAGAAGCTGGGACTACCACTACATCCAGCTCATTAGTTAATATTGAATCTCACTCTCATTTCTTAGGTAGCAGCAATTTGATTCTCAAGAACAAAGAAAGCGAGAATCTGAATCTCCTAAAATATTCCCATACTTACAATATTGCCAATTTCTTATAGCCCTGATAGAAATAAAAGCCACAACACAGTTTAGCAATTTCTGGTTGCTAAAAATAAGGGAATCCGGAAAAGCGTAGAATGTGGCATTTATTAAGGGATTATTGTTCCCGATCGGATTGGATTCCAGGTAATAAAGCACTACCGCGGCTTAGGGGGGACACAGCCACCGAATGCAGAATCCCTCCTCCTTCTCCCAGCCCCATCCCCAAGGTAGGTGGGTCAGCACTAGAGGTAAGGTTAACTTCTAGAAGAAAGTCTTTCCCCCTTTCCTGGCCTGGAGCAACCAGCTGGCTACCAGCTGAATCTACCCCTTGTAAACCCTGACACCTCCTGCCTTAGCGGCAGTGCTTTTGCCATACTGAGGGTGATGCAGGAAAGAGTCCCTTGGGCTCCTTCCCAACATACCCAGAAAGGCGCAGGAGGAGATAGACAATGCAAATCAACCCCGGGCATGTACCATCACTGGCCAGATGAGACTGGACACCCAGAAAACGGTTTGGTCAGCTGCAACCTTTCTTTAGCTAGACTGCAGCTGGACTTTGGGTAATGAAGATAAAATCTTGTGTAAGCTATATTAAGAGCTTGCAGTGGAAAGAGCCCTTGCTTGGGATTTCGGAGCCCAGAGTTTTATTCTGGGCTCTGACACTGGTTTGCTGGGTCCCTTTACTTTGATAAGCTTCAGTTGCCCTGTGTGCGCTGCCAGGGGTTGTGTCAGATGATCTGCCAGCTTTGCTGTGCTAGGACCTTGGCTCTGCTTCAGGAACCAATTACTGGCCCAAATGGGAAACAGAAGTGCCTTGGGTCTTTGAGGCTCTGAGAGAGCATAGTTTGGGGAGTGGGTCGCAGTCAGTTCGCCAGAACATCTGGTCAGGGCCGGAGAACGGGATTGAGACCAGGATGGTTACAGGACAGGTCCTGGGGCATCCCGGCGCCTCAAGTTTCCCTCCTGGTCTCAGGCCCCTACCCCTTACCTTCCAGTCTGAATTCCGGACCAGATCCTGGCTCTCACTGGGGCAGCTTGAGGGCTATGGGGAGGGGAGGAAGGATCATGCGCTGATCCTGGACGGAGATGGAGCGAGTTCAAGGGAACTGACAGCAGAATCTCAGGAAGGGCTTGTTCAGCTGACGGAGAGATCAGGACCGGGACAGCGCAGGGAGGCAGCCCCAGCGTTTCTGGGAGGTTGCTGGAGTGTGAGCTTCAGGAGACCCAAATTTCTAGCCTAGACACATGAGTGACCCTGGGCATCTCCCTTCGCTTCTCTGGACCTCGGTTTCCCTGCAGGATTCATCCGGGAGGGGATCCTTTCTCCCGCACCACGGGTTGCCCGAGGCTGAGATGCAGCGAACGCTTGGCAGGTGCCCGAGCTTTTCCTCCTCCTTCGATGCCCGCATCCCCGACCCTGGCGCAGCCCAGGATCTCCCTCCGTCCCCCGCGGGGCCGCCCCTCGGCTGCCCCTCTCCGTCCCTCTCCGGCTGGGGCCGTCCCCGCCCGCCCAACTGTACCTGCGCCGCGGGCGCCGCCGGGCTCGCCGGCCCCGGAATAGGGCGCGCGGGTGGGAGCCGCGGGAGCGGGACTGCGTCCGGGGCTGCCCCCGGGGCCGCGGGTCCCCAGCCTCCGGAAGCCCGGATGGGCCAGGGGGCCGGGGGCGGCGAGGGGCGGCAGCAGCAGCAGCGGCCAGAGCAGCAGGAGGAGTCCTGGGAGGTGGTGGCGCGTGGGGGCCGGGCGCGGCATGGTCTCGGCGGGCCTGTCGGTGTCGCTAGTCCGTCGGGGCCCTGGGGCGCGCGCCCGGGCCGCCGATTTAAAGGTCCCGCGGCCTCGAGCTCCGCCCCGCCCCGCCCCGGGGCCACGAGCGCCAGGCTCCCTCTCGAGAGCCCCGCCCGAAGCCAACAAGGAGCCTTGTCCGCGCATTCCAGTGGCAGAAGCGGAATGTCTGGGCGAGGCGGCCAGCGGCGCAGTGGTCACCGCCCGCCCCTGCCCTGCGCCCGGAGCCGGCCGCGGCCGGTGGGCTCGGCTGGGTGCCTCCTGGCCCGGCCCTGCTGCTCTCGCCACTCTGCCCTCCCTGTGAAACCCGGGGCGGGGCGCGGGGGGCACCTACCCCGGGCTACTGCCTGCCCGACCCTCACTTCCCCCCACCCCAGGGGGCTGCGCCCCGGGCCCGGCCGAGGAGCCCCCGGCTCTGCCTCCTGGTCCTCTCAGCCTTGCCAGCCCCCGGCTCGGGCGGGATGAAACCTTGCTCCTCACCTTACATTCCTTTCCCCGGCCAAGGAACCCAAGCTTGCTGTGGGCTCTTGGTTTGAAAACAAGAAAAAGCAAAAAAGAAAAGGCCTCACAGGTTCTAGCGGCATGAATAGAAACGCTTTCATTCCCGCTTCAAACATCCATAAACATTTATGACTTATATTACCGGGAATAGAAAGTCAAACATACATTCCCCCAGAGACCCCAGGTAGCTGAGGGACAGCCTGTACCCACAGAGCTTCAAAAGGCTCTCCCTGCGCCCATTTCCTCTCCGGAGGAGCGGTGGCGGAGCCCGGCTGGAGCCTGCCCAAGGGACCCCCCAGGGGACTCACTGTCCACGGGAGGGAAACGTGCATAAATGCTCTGCCTGTCTATGGGAACAGGCTGGGATAGGAAAGAGAGACTGGCTCTGCTTGCGGAAACCAGGAAGACGTCTAAAACCAGGTGCCATTGGAGCCGGATCTTAAAACATGACAATGAGCATGTTCTAAAGATCCTATCTGGTCTTCCTGTTTCACTATTTCTCCTCTACAATCCATCCTCCACACGGTAACATAAAAAATCACTTCTCATATTTGTACACCATGCTCATGGCCCCATGATACACAATAGCCAAGAGGTAGAAGCAACCCAAGTATCCCTCTTGGATGAATGGATAAGGATAATGTGGTATCTACATACGATGGAATATTTTTCAGCCTTAAAAAGGAAGGAAATTCTAACACGTACTACAACGTGGATGAGCTTTGAGGACACTGTGTTTAGTGGAATATGCCAGTCACAAAAAGACAAATACTGTTTGATTCCATTTATGCGGAAAATCTGGAGAAGTCAAACTCATAGACACAGAAAGAACTGTGGCTGCCAGGAGCTGGGGGAGGAGGGAATGGGGACTTGTTTAATGTATAGGATCGGTGGCAGTGGCTTATCAGGGCAGTGACAGTAATAGTGAGGAAAAATGTCTCTCAACTCCCAGTGAGGAGAATTCACCAATTTAGAAGGACCTTAGAAGAAGCTAGAAGTTTATGATAATGAGAAGAGGACACTAAGAAGTTTGAAAGAAGCTATGCCAAGGAGAGAAGGGGTTGCTAAACACAATATTTACAAGCTCTGGTGGACATTTGTCATTTGTCTTCCTTTTTGGGTGATCCCTAAAGCCTTTGAACACTCTATCAGGATTCTTGAGAGAAACAGAACCAACAAGAGATACACATCTATAGCTAAATAATATACACATGGCAGAGGGTGACAGGGGGAGAGAGTTATCATGAGGGATTGGCTCATGCAATTGTGGAAGCTGAGTAGTCCCACAATCTGCTGTCTACAAGCTGGAGGCCCAAGAAAGCCAGTGATGTAACCCAGTCCCAGCCGGAAGGCCTGAGAACAGGGGGAACCATGGCATAAGTCCCCATCTGAATCCAAAGGCCCATTAGGAGTGTTAATGTCCAAGGACAGGAGAAGATGGATGGCCCCACTCAAGTAGAGAGCAAATTCACCCTTCCTCTGTCTTCTTGTTCTTTCAGACCCTTGACAAATTGGATGATGCCCACTCACACTGGGGAGGACAGTCTGCTTTACTCAATCTACTGATTGAGTAGATTGGGTAGAGTAATGCTAATATCTTCCGAAAACACCCTCGCAAACACACCCAGAAATAATATTTTACCACCTACCTAGGCATCCCTTAGCCCAGTTAAGTTGACACATTAAAATTAGCCATCGCAAACACCCTTACTAAATTTGGGGATTTCCAACTTTATGAGTCAGGACCTCTCTAAGTAGAAGAATCCCAAACTTGCTTCTAGCATCTCTTGCATCTAGGATATATTGAAGTGATCCATACTTTATCAAACAGATGTGGTGTCTGTGACCAGCAGCAGTGACTCTAGGTCTCCCACAGAGCAAATCTGCAGTATAATTTGGAAGTGTTTCATGACTATATGGCTTCCAAGCTTGACTCTCAGACACGTCCAGAAATTATGTAACCCACTTAATATCCAGAGCTACATACGGGTGGTGCAGGTTGTATTAATACACTGTACAACTTCAGAGGGGCACCAATCACATTCATAATCAACACATATTTATAACAACTGGAAATATTAATACACTTCAATGGCAGTGAGGTGTTTTGAGGAATGGATGACTTTTTTATTTGCACCGTGGGCTAGAAGTAGAGGTGATGATATGCTTAATATATCCTTTTTATGCTTATTCCAGCTGGAATGGGTTCTGTTTGCAACCAAAAACGCGGATACACTAATTTTGCACTTTTTTCCATTGAAAACCACTAGGGGGCATTATATCAAAGAGCTCAAAATATTAATTAAAAAACTCTCTTTGCCTGGTGAATGTCAAGACACATCAGTTGTCAGCAACTCAAATGATTTCAGGTGCTGGTATATTAATGTTATGCATCTTGAATGAAACGGAAACTGTCTGATAAGTTGATGTCTCTAGAGTTCTTTCCACCAGAGTTCACACCGTAGGGCAATAGTTTTACATCTTTGGATTGTTAAATAAAACAAAGGTGGCTCTTGTGGCAGAGGGGTCCAGGTGGCTGCAGGGGATCCTCGCTTGTCGCCAACTCAATTGGCTGCTGGCCCAGGCAGTAACCACGCTGTCCGGTGTTTACGTGAGAATATCACAAAAGCCACATTTCTCTGTCACTGTAGATGATCTTATACTACTTTGTCAAGACTAGAATAGTTTTTTGGTAAATCTAAAGATATAAGTAGTAAAAAAAAAAGCCAAATAGGGATTTCTTGAACTATTAAAAAATTTAAGAAATTAAATTAATGATTACTTTCAGCTTTGTATCACTTCTGGTAAGCAAAGGATTCAACATGTTGGGAGAGTTATTTTTCTCACAAAACCAGGATTTCAGCAGTAGTGTAAGACTTGCAAGCTACCTAAGGAACCAGTTTTCTTCTGCCCCGCCACCCATCATGTGTAGATTTTGTCCCCAAGGCTGCCGGACCTCCAAGTATTGTGTTGGCATTCCAGGCTGAAGGAAAAGGGAAGGCAGGTGGGCAAAGGACTAAATGTAGAGAAGTTCTGCCAACATCTCATGGCCACCCCTGGCCACAAGGGACTGTTGGAAAGGTAAGTTTTTTAGCCTTTTAGGTCTATAGATAAGGCAAAAGAAAAACTGGATTAGAATAGGTGTTGACAGCTAACCAGTGGTATTTGCCACAAGTATACAGTGAAAAGAAACTATCCTTACCTCCTTGCTCCATTCTGGTGACAACACTGTTGCCAATGTCTTGAATATACATAGCTTTGTAGCTATTAATATAAACATTGAAAAATATGTATGTGGACACTGAGTGCTCTATTAAAAGAAAGCATGTTTCTAACTTTGGACTTTCCCCCAAGCAAGTTAAAAAGGTTTTAGATTTCACAGATGTATTAGATAAAATGTTGTCAAAAAGATGTCCCAAGGCTTCTTAAATCTGGTAAAGAAAATGCCAGGCCATGAACTTAGTGAACAATTTGTTTGGTTTTCAAAACCATCTCGAGCTCAAACTGGAAGTCTTTTCTGGAAAGTATAGGACTCTTTACTTGCTGTATGTGTTTTTGCAACTGATCCACCTGAATAAAACCAAGTAAATATGCAAAAGTGAATGTGTTCCATGGCTTACAAGTTGTGTTGCCACCTTTGTTTTTTAATTGCTGCAGGGGTTAATATGGTGATTTTACTAAATATTTGAGAATAAGCAGAAAACGTGGGAAATAAATCTAACCTGAGTGTTCTAATGCGTGTGCCTGTTTTTAATACTAACTTCCTAGCTACATGAGAGTTACTTATGAATGGGATGAGGTTGAAAGCAAAGGTGACTGCTCTCGAAAAAAAAAAGACTATTTCTGAAACATAGGAAGCACATTTTATTATTGCAAATAATTCTGAAGAGGCTTGTTAATGACCTACTACTGTTAACTAACATTTGCAACTTAAGAGATATTTCTATTAAAAATAGTAAAATTAATATTTGAAAAGAGCAATTCATAGAACTTGTGCTTCCTTTAATAAAAAGTTCATTTTAGTTTTTATTGTTTCATTTTACAAGTACAAATACGAGCCTTAAGTTTCACTAGTTAACAAAAATAAAATATCAAGTCCGCCAATTCAGTGGTAATCATGTATCGTCTTCCTCAGAGTAAGCTTCCCTGAGGCAGTATCTTAAACAAGTTTTTTCAAACTTATTTTTGCCACTATCCACTGTAACAACTACATTATACATTATAAGCCAGTTACAAAGTAAATATGTAATACATATACGCAGCAGAAAAGGTAGTTTTATAAAACAATATTAATACTTAACACATAGGATGCACTCTAATGATTTCTATTTTATTCAACTCCATTTCTATTCCATTTTTTTTTTAAAGTCTAAATAGAATTCATGATTCACTTAAATAGATTCTTTCCCTTTGCCTTTACCCTAAATCTGTTAGTAATACAATGTCTGGTTTGTGGCATTGGTGGGGCTTACTCACCTTGTAATTATTTAATATATATTAAATACATTTATTCTATCTGATTCCACTAGAAT